AAGGAAGGAAGGAAGGAAGGAAGGAAGGAAGGAAGGAAGGAAGGAAGAAAGAAAGAAAGAAAGAAAGAAAGAAAGAAAGAAAGAAAGAAAGAGAGAGAAAGAAAGGATTTAAAATGGGCACACCTCCCAGGATCTTAGAAAGAAATGCAACATGCATTTAGGACTCAGAGAGGTTTAAAGGTTAAAACAGGTCAAGAAGAGTAAAACTAATACCATTTCATAGATTTGAGCAATTACCTTAGGAAAAATCCATTACATAACACACCTGTTAGATGCTCAGGAAGTAGTATGGAAATGGACTATCTTGTCTGATAAAACACTATATAAAGGTATTCTGGAGAGGGAGTCAAGATGGTGGCAAAGGGAGGTCCTGAACTCACCTCCTCCCATAGACACGTCCAATCTACAGCTATGTATGAATCATTTCCCTGTGAAAAAGATCTGAAATCTGGATGAAAACCAAAGGATAAAAGAACCTCATAGGGACCGGTAGGAGAGGCAGAGATGTGGTGTTCACAAAAAACTCAACCCCCAGAGCTCCAACACACAATAGGGAGAGATCTGTGCTTCTTCTGGAAGAGTGAGGGGTTGGTGCCTCACATCAGGCAGTCCCAACCTTGGGATCTGCACCAGAGAAATGAGCTCCCCAAAGATGCCTGGCTTAGAAAACCGAGAAGAATGAGGAATCCAAAGTACTATAAGAAACTGAGATTGTCCTTCTAAAGAGCTCATGTTCAGTCTCACTCACCCTGGGATCCTCTCCAAAAGCACCAATTTTTTAAAGTGCCTAGACTGTATGGCAAGAAAATTCATTTGTTCATCTGAGGGTATCTGCCCGAGGAGCAGGGGAGAGTCAGGGCTCTCTCTGGAGACAAAGGCTCTGGTAGACACCATTTGTGTGCTTTCCACCTACCCTGCTAGCACAGGTAGACAAACTAAGACACAGCACCTTCCTGCTGCCTCATTGAGAAGGGTGGGGGCAAGCAGTCACAGCGCTGCCCACTGCCTTGCTGAGGCTAGAGAGAGCAGGTAGTAGCAGCAATTCTTCACTCCCTGGCCAGGGCAGGCTAGTGTGAACAGTCAGGGCATTTTCCTGCCCCCAACCTGGGGCCTGGGACAGGGCAATCTCTTACAGCATTGCTGAAATCCATGAGTGCACGCAGTCAAGGCATTTTCCTGTTCTCTTTCTGAAGCCAGAGAGCATCCTTGACCCCTACACATACCAGCTGCCCTGCTAAAGCCAGTAGGCATGCGTAAACCACACAGGGGCTGCCCCTTGTCTGCCTGGGTCCAGTGGCCAAGGGGGCTGGCATTCCTGAGCTCCAAGGAACTATAAAGACACTTCTTGGCAGGCCAATACCTCCAGGGCACTGCACAGACAGCAGTCGGAAACACAACCCCAGTCTTCCTGTGAAAAAGGCCGATTTACTTACCTTGGAGCTTCAACCTGAGGAACAAGCTTCAGGTCTCCCAGACATTTAGAGGCTAAAGAAGTGCTCCCAGGGAATGTAAGCAGAGAGAGACCATCCTTATGCACCCCCTTGGCCTCACTACAGCTCTACCAAACATCCCAGAAAGGAGCTTATACACTTATCGGGAGCCCTGATTTTTGAAACTGTCACCCAGGGACACCTCCAGATCTCCCAATCTGGAGTCCAGCTGGGTTTACAATTGTCACCCCACAGGACTATATACATTTGCACACTTTAAAAGCTTCTGCCTGAGAGTCTGACTTCCAATCAGCCCTAAAACTAAGTGTTAAACTAGATTCCTCTCCTTGGAACATTGACAGGTCTTGGCACATCCTCGACAATGGGGACATATCAAAAATAAATCAGACTGTTTAGACAATCACAAAGGTTAGGAGACAACCAAGAACTAGGACAAGGGTGAGCGAGAAAGTTCATCTCCTACACGTGGCAACTTTTCAACACTAAAAGTAGTTGTCTTGCCAAATATATAGAAACGCAGAAAGTTAAGCAAAATGAGGAAATAGAAATATGTTCCAAATAAGATAATAAGACAAAACTTCAGAAGAACCTTAATGATATGCAGATAAGTAATCTACATGTAATGAATTCAATTTGATGGTCATAAAGATGCCCATGGAACTTGGGAGAAGAATGGATGAACACAGTGAGAACTTCACCAGAAACAGGAAGTATGAGAAAATACCAACCAGAAGTGACAGAGATGAACAATACAATAATTAAATTGAAAAGTACACTAAAGGAGTTCAACATTAGATTGGATGAAACAGAAGATAAGGTCTGTGAGGTGGAAGACAAAGCATTGAAATTCACTCAGACAGAGCAGCAAAAAGAAAAATGAATTTAAAATATCAGAAATAAGAAACTTATGTGTCAACATCAAGCAGAATAATGTTCAAATTAAAGAGATCTCTAAGGGAGAGGAGAAAGGTGCAGAAAATGTATTTGAAGAAATAATGGCTGAAAACTTTCCTAACTTGGGGAAGAAACACACATCCAGGTCCAGGAAGCAAAGGGACTTTCAAAAAAAAAAAAAAAACTCAAAGAGACCAACACCAAGATACATTATAATTTGAATGTCAAAAGTTGAAGATAGAGAATATAAAAAGCAACAAAAGAAAAGCGATTTATTATGTACAGGGAAATGTATCCATTAGGCTATCAGCAGATTTTTCAGCACAAATTTCACAGGCCAGAAGAGAGTAGCATGACATATTCAAAGTGCAGAAAGAGGGGCACCTCGGTGGCACAATCAGTTAAGTGTCTGACTCTTGGTTTCTGCTCAGGTCATGATCTCAGGGTTGTGAGCTCGAGTCCCGTGTTGGGTCCCATGCTCAGCCTGCTTGGGTTTCTCTCTCTCTCATCTCCCCGCCTCAAATAAATAAATCTTTAAAAAAAGAAAAAGAAATGCTGGCTGACTGCAACCTGCCTTTCTTTCCAAAGTACGAAAAGAAAAACTTCCAACCAAGAATACTCTACCCAGAAAGGTTAGCATTCAGAATTAATATGGAGATCAAGAATTTTCCAAATAAGCAACTAAAGGAGTTGATTACCACTAAACTGGCCTTATAAGAGATGTTTAAGGGACTTATTTAAACTAAAAAGAAAGGGCATAATTAACAAGAAAATATATAAAAATAAAATCTTAATGGCAAAAGTAATATACAATATATGTACAGCAAAGGTAGTGGATAAATCACTTATAAAGCTAGTATGAAGACAAAAATACTAAAATTAACTAAAAGTACAATAATTAGTTAAAAGATTTATAAAACAGGGGCACCTGGGTGGCTCAGTCAGTTAAGCGTCTGCCTTCAGCTCAGGTCATGATCCCAGAGTCCTGGGATCGCGCAGCAGGAAGCCTGCTTCTCCCTCTCGCACTCCCCCTGCTTGTGTTCCCTCTCTTGCTGTCTCTTTGTCAAAAAATAAATAAAATCTGTAAAAAAAAAGGATTTATAAAATAAAAAGGTCAATGTGACATCAAAAATATTAAACATGTGGGGAAAAAAATAAAAACACAGCATTTTAAGATATGTTCACATTTAAGTTACTGGCAACATGAAACAGACTGTTACATACATATGGGACTATATGTGACCCTCGTGGTAACCACAGGGGGGAAAAAAAAATCTTGTGGTAAATATATAAAAGAAAATGAGAGTGGAATCCAAACATAACACTAAAGAAAGGTATTACACCACAAGGGAAGAGAGAAAAAGAAAAAGAAAAAAAGGAACAGAGAAGCAACTACAAAAAAGAGCCAGGAAGAAAACAAAATGGTAATAGGACATACCTATCCATAATTACCTAATGTAAATGGACTAAATTCTCCAACCAAAAGATATGGAGTGGTGGGATGGATAAAAACAAAGCTTCTTTCTATCCACTGCCTATAAAAGACTCACTGCAAAGACAAGGACACACTCAGACTAAATGTGAAAGGACAGACAAAGATGTGCCATGCACATAGAAACAAAAAGAAAGTTGGTGTAGTTGCACTCTCATCAGACAAAAGAGACTTCAAAACAAAGACCGTAACAGAACACAAAGAAGAGCATTACATAATGATAAAAAGGGCAATCCATGGGCGCCTGGGTGGCTCAGTCGGTTAAGCGACTGCCTTCGGCTCAGGTCATGATCCTGGAGTCCCGGGATCGAGTCCCACATCGGGCTCCCTGCTCGGCGAGGAGTCTGCTTCTCCCTCTGACCCTCTTCCCTCTCGTGCTCTCTATCTCTCATTCTCTCTCTCTCAAATAAATAAATAAAATCTTTAAAAAAAAAAAAGGGCAATCCAGCAAGAAGGTATAACACTTACAAAAATATATTGATGCACCTTAGAAGCACCAAAATATATAAAGTAAATAGTTACAGACCTAAAGAGGGAAATGGACAACAATAAATAATTGTATAGGACTTCAACACCCTATTTACATCAATGGATAGGTCATCCACACAGAAAATCAATAAGAAAACATCAGCCTTAAATGACCCATATATATTGGGGTGAATGGATAAAGATGTCACACACGCACAGATTGGAATACTATTCAGCCATAAAAAAATAATGAAATCTTGACGGTTGTGATAACACGGATAACCTTGAGAATACTGTGTTAAATAAAATTAGAAAGACAAATACCACACGATTTCACTTATATGTGGAATTGAAAAAACAAAACAAAACTCAGATTCAAGGATACAGAGAAGAGATTGGTGTCTGCTAAGGGGAGGAACTTGGAGGCCTGGGAAGGTGGAGGGATGGAGCTGTGGCGGGGGGAGGGGCTGTGGTCCAGCTTGCTTCTCCTCTGTCCCCTCCCTCCCTCAGGAGCCCTTTGTGACAAAACAATAGCTCTGTGATGTGGGCCTGGGTTATGTGTCCGCAAGCACACGCCCAGTGCTCAGTTGCCTGAGGGCAGCAGTGCAATCTGGTACTAATGAATTTCAGAGGAAAGAGATGGAGAATTACCTCTTCCCTCAGAAATGCATTACTAGTTGGCTGAGCTCCAGTGCCTCTTCCTGGGCACTTAACATCATCCTCGCCTTCCCGTGTGGACTGGGGCTCTTCTTCCTATTACTATCCTACTTCCAGACTAATCCGTCCTTACCACCACGCAAGAAACACAGAAACATCAGGAAGGTAAGGAACCCTTGACCCAGACCCAGCAGAGTATGATTCTATCTCCTTTTCTATTACTATTTCCATTTTTCTGAATTAATGGAGAGATGGGAAAGAATAGAACATATATTCTCAGGAAAGAATAGAACACCATTCATCCAGGGAGAAACCAGACTAGGCAGGGGTTAGAGGGGCACAAGGATTTCTACCCAAAGATCTCAGGCCAGGAGTCCAGGTGTGGTGGAGGGCTCCAGGACAATGTCCTAAACACAGTGACCAGTGGCCGAGGACCGGTGGCTAAGAGCTGCATCTCTAGCAGAGGTCAGGCCCCTGGGCACCGGTTCACCAGCCACCTTCCCAGGGCAGGTGTCTCAGGTGAATGTTCCTCTGTCAGCGCTGATCGAGGGCAGTGCTGAGCCCAGGAGGCCCCGAGTAGCGGCTGGAGTGGGGCTCTGGCCTCGGGAAGCGGGGTCCTACGTGAAGGAGCTCAGATGCACCCACAGGTCTGGGAATGTGTGTGTTTCTTGAGCAGAGGAACAGTGACAAATTTCTCAGAAAATCCTCCTGTACATTCTTCAAAGAAGGAAAACTGAAAACATTTTTATCCATTTTGAAAAGGAAATGAGTAAAACGATAGAAAACCACAGCCCCCCTTAGTTAAATGTAGGAAGTCACATTGTTCATGAGCAGCGAACATCTGCTGCTGGGGGTGGGGGTCCCAGCCTCCCCGTGTTCTCTCATCTCAGTATCAAGCAGAGCCATGGAGAAGGAACAACAGAAGCAAGAAGAAAAACCAGACTCTGAAAGGTGAGCATCTGCCACTCAGCCCTGTGCACCCCAGTTACACCATCCCCCTCTGCTCTGAGGGCCCAGCCCCACCATCTCCAGGACACCAGGGCCTGAGCCCATCACTCAGGAAACAGAGCCCTGGGATGGGGAGGGGCTCCTAGGAATGGGGCGGGGCTCCTGGGGGGGAGGGGCTCCTGGGAGGGAGAGTGGAACCCGGATGCTTCCAGATTCTGGGCCAGAACAAAGCCCTGAGGGGTTGGAAATGGGTGTCGCCCAGCACGGGCCCCAGGGCCTGGACTGGGAGGCGGGACCTCCAGCTCCAACTGTGGACAAACTGCCCAACTTTGCTCAGATTTCTCTGTGAGGCGACCCGGTCCTTTCTCCCCCAACAAGGTCACGAATGGGGAAGCACTTTGTAAAGGACAAAGCAATCCCCATCATGGGCTTTGCTATCACTGTGCAGGCACGCAGCCTTGGACACTGATGTTTGGGGCTCCTGAGTCTAATCCCTCAAAGGTCTCCCCTAAAGGGACATTGTACTCGGCCTCCTGTAAGACCCCTGGGCCCCCGCCTTCAGCTCTATGACCCGGTCTCCTGTTTCCAGCTTGCAGAGATTGCCTGCAAGAACTGGAAGAGGTTCAGGACCTGTTTTCCCTTCTGCAAAGGTAAAGAACCTTCCCCCTTCTCTCCTGGGTGCTCCTCCCAGAGTCTATGGTGTGAGCCCAGGGCTGCAGGCACCCTGGGGCTGTTCTGGGGGTCTGGGAGGAGCCACGGGGACAGTGTGGCTAAAGCCCTGGGACGAGGGACAGCAGGAGAATTGTGAAGTGGGTGTGGGGACATGGAGGGCCGTGGGGCCCACCCTCCTGACCCCCCTGCTCCTGGCTTCGGCTCACACCTCCTGTCTTCCACAGCCACCTGGCGAGGGTCTCTGACCAGGGGCACTTTCAGCTCTTACATCGAGCGGCCCCTGGGCAGGTGCGCAGAGGAGTGCCTGCTGGAGCCCATCAGCCATGCAGGGAGCCTATGGAAGATGCTCCCACCGTGGCCCCATCACCTTCCCCCGCTCCTCTGACGGGACACCCTCTACCTCTGGCCTCCACCCGGCCAGCAGAACCTCAAGAAGACCAAACTAACTTAAAGGAAATCCCACTGGACACAGTCAGAAAGAGCTTACCTCCAGGTAATTCCTATTTGGCATCTCTCATTTCAACCATCTCAGGCCTTGGCCATGCAATCTACCCCATTTTATCCTTTTCCTGGTGGTGGAAATGTACCAAGTCCTTGTTCTTGCCTAGCTCATTACAGCACAAGTGCCAGCAAGAACATGTGTCCTGCCACGCACCAGAGACCTCGCTCTGGGGTGGCCTTACAAACAAGCATATAGAGACTCATAACCCCTCATTTGTCAATCCGGATGTCCAGAAGCTACTTGAGATACTAATCACTAAAAGGGTAGAACTGAAGATTTGGAAAGAGAAAGAAAAAGGTGGGTCAGTTGTCAAACAGTGGTGCCCAGATGACCACGTGGGCTTTCTGGGGACTATGTGGAAGTTGCTGGGTGCTGAGCAGAACACCACCACCCCGCAATCCTTCTGGAACATGAAAGACAAACCAGAGCCACTGGCCAGTCCTCAGCTGTTCTCATCCCCCAAGGTCTTGGAAGACCACTTGCAACAGAAATGCAGCCAGCTCTTCTGGGGTCTCCCCTCCCTGCACAGTGAGTCCCTGATGGCCACTGCCTTGGTCTCTACTCACTCTTCTCAACTACAGGTTCCCTCTGTTTTATTCAATGGAATCTCTAAGTGCTTGCCAGTTCTAATTCAGGATCAAATATCTTCACAGTTTTCCCACGCCCCACCCTTGCTCCACCTTGGGATCCAACCCCAACCCTCGATGCTATCCTTTCCCTGGTCCCAGGCCCCCCTTCCCCCTTCTGTCCCAGTCAGACCACCTTCTCTCCCATCCCAGAGGAGGACCGGTGGGGTATCTTGCCCTACATCCCAAAAAAAGACACAATTCATCCCAACTGAAATTCAACATCTGGAAAGGTCTTTGTTGCTGAAACAACAAGAAAGGGGGAAGACTTTACCCACTATGGTGAAAAGGTCTCCGAAATCCTTTAGTCAAGTCCCTCCCAAGCTTCCGGAGGACAACCAGGCCTCCCAGGCCCACAGGTCAGTTTCCACTTTTCACGGGGACTTTATCATCTTTAAAATCCAGAAGCAACACCTTCAAAGGAGGCTCAGCGGGAATAAACAGCAAGGTAGCCTGCGCCACAGGATTCAACTGTCTCTGGAACTGATGTGCCCTCAGGATGAATTCCCATGGGTGAGTCAGGCACAGATAGAGCAGGGGCTCTCAAGGCCCTTTGTGTTTAAAGGCAAAAGCAGCCGGGTCACACAGAGGACCAGGTCCAGGTACCCTAGAAGTTCCCATAGGAAGCGTCAAGCAAGATTCCAACTAGAGAAGAACTTTAGTAAGGGTCTATGGCAATGTCTGAAGAGGACGCCAAGAGATCTCTCCAGGGTCTCAGCCAGGTACCCAGTGAAGGTTCTAGGAACCAACTCTGAGAAGGAGTTAGTAAGACCCTTGATAAGCACCTTGAAGAGTGACCCAGGAAAATACTTTGCCAGGGGCCCAGATAAGAAACATCTAGAAAAAATCTTAAAGGTTCATTTGCTCAGGAAATTGGGACAGATCAATCGGGGTTTGATCCCTCTGAGTGTGCGTCGATCCTGGTTTGTGGCCAACCATGCTTTGCCCGAGTTTCACCCTCACACAGAAATCAGAAACCTAGCACCCTTGAAGGATCGGAAACCCTGCGTAAACACCTCCCATGAGCTGTTCTTCCTTAGTCCTCACACTCGGCAGAAGCTGGAATCACACATCTTAAGGTTTCGGGCGAGGCGTAGGTGGGACCCCCCTCTCCAAGCCTCTAAGCCCATGATCTCATCTCTATGTGAAGCTCAACACTTGCCCTATTCCCAGTCCCCCTTTCCCTGCTCAGGCACCTTTGTATCTAGGGCCCACTCAAAAGCCAAGTTCTACAGGTTCTTGGGAAAACCTCCTCAGCCCCATCCAGGAGGGGAGGGGATAGCAGAAGAGTCTGTTCCTGCTTCAGGGGGTCCGCTGCCTTTTCCCTCACCCGCATGTGAGGAAATCCAACAGGGCCTGGGAGGGACCTCACCTGATGATGGCCATGAGTCCTTGGAGACCTCTTTATCAGGACAGAAGGGCGGATCACCTTCTCAGACCTCCACACTCAGCCTCATAAACAGAACCCTACAGAGCAAGACTGTTATGGGGGCCAAGAAAGACAACCTGGATCCAAGCCAAAGTTTAGCAATGGCCAGGAATGAGCTAAAGGAGGAGAGTGGGGGTCATGCCTCACCAAACAAGGTAGCAATACTAGAGATGAACCTCTGGTCCCAATCTCCAAGGGCTAAAGGGGCCATGGAGGCGATGGAGGCCGAGAAGGCCCCTGCTTGGAAAGTCATCTTAACACCCAGCATGCTGGCCAATAACCAAACCATTTATGTGGATCTGAGGAGATCAGGATCTCCAAGCACTAGTAAAAGTCCCTCACCACCTACAGAATCGGTTGCCCAAGATCCAAAGGAGCCAAGCCTTAAAACAAAGGCTAGTAAGTTTGAGCTCCAAGAGGAGGTAGAGTCAGGGAACCAGCCTCAAGGCCATACCGCTGGTGTGCTTCTTCAAGATTCTCCCAGTGACATCCTCCTTCCAGACTTTGCCACTGGCGTGCCTGTCCAAGACTGTGACACCAGTGTGCTCCTGAAAGACCTTCACACTAATGCCCTCCTTGCTGAAGACATCTTGACCACTCACAAGTCACCCTGTTCCCAGAGGGAACATGACCATGGAGACACATCAGCTTCCCTAGTGCCACATGACCTTATCCCCTGCAGTGAGGGGCATCAGGAGTCAAGTGTACCAGAAGTTGAGGAACCACGTGAGAGCCAGAGGGAGAGTGACTCCACTAATGAGAGAGAAGACCAGAAGAGTCCCAAACCAGAAAAGCATGAAGAAGAGTCTGCAGAACCAATGGGAATCAGGGTTTCCCAAGCTAGTGGGACAAGACACCCTCCCCACGTCAGAGGAACAGGAGAGAGCCTTGGGAGCAAATACCTCCAGCTCATGCCAGAAAAGGGACAGATTTTTCCAGAAAGTCACGTTAGAAAAGGGATGAGGAACTTTCTGCAGTGCCTTAATCGCAATAAAAAAGGCACAGGACTGGAAGATACCCTTCAAAAAGGCAAGGCCGCATCAGCCCTTGCCCGGGTACCAGTCAGAAGCAAATTGGCTATAGACAGCAAGTCTGTTGAAGCTCAGACGATTGTGACAGCTGTGGGACAAATCCTGGGGGAGAAAATGGGACTTCACCGAGGAATTTGTGCCTCAGAGATAAATCAGCACAAAGAATTGCAGGCCCCAGTATGTGGGCATTCCTGTTACCACAGGGTTCTCTCCTCCCCAGGCCAGGGGAGAGTGATGAGAGAGACAGCCTTCAGTCAGCAAGCCACCCCCATGGGTCATAGCTGCCCTAATAGGAACGAGTGGACCAGACACAGGAACAGCAGGTGGGAAGTCCTACCCAGGGACCTGGGGTCCCCAGGCAGATGCAGCCAGCACAGGCCGATGGTGGCAGGTGTCTCAGGTCATATTCAGCATTATCCAACATGCCATCTTCGAAAATTTGTGTCACCCCATCAGGCAGTGTGTGCTTCTCACATCTTTCCTGATGGCAAAGTTTTCCTTCAAGAAAAAATTGGGTACATGCAAAGAAAGCCTATTGTTTCTCATGTTAGCACATCCTTTGTGTGCTAATGGCTTCTTCATACCACAATTTTTATTGTTTCCCCAAAATAAATGTTTTTTTCTCATGAGAGATGCTGGCCCCTGTCTGTGCCCCGCTCGGGGGAAGGGAAGGATCAAGGTCTGCTCTCCCCGAGTGCCTGCTTTGGCTTCCAGAGGGATGGGGCCTTGGAGGGAGGGGGACCGTGCGCTACACCCCACCCCCTCCCTCACACGCCTTCGGTTTCCATGACAAGATGAACGAGACCAAGACCAGCATCTGGCTCCGCCCGTCCTCTCCTGCGTTCTCTCTACCTTGAACTTGGGTGGCTGTAGGGAGGGTCTGCAGAGGCAGAAATCCCCTCGGGCTCCAGGACGTGTGGAAGACAGAGTCCTCTGTCAGAGCGGGGCGTGGAGCTTGGAGGTGCGAGGTTGGCCCTGAGCGCAGAGGAGGGGGAAGTCCTGCTGCCCGTCTCCTGGGGGAGCAGGGGACGGCCACCCAGGAGCCCTTCCCTCCCCGATGAAGCTGGGTTGACATCGGCCGGGAGCCCCTCTTAGCTCAGTGTCACACCCCCCCCATGCTCTGGAGCAGCAAGGGCGGAGCATGCTCACGGCCCTGGGGCTGTGCAGGTGGGGAGCACAGAGGCCCCTGCGCCCCAGGCGGCCCTACCCCAGGCCAGTGACGGGGCTGCTCACCAGCCACCCTTTCCCCTTCTGGGGGATGGAGCAGGGGTGTGGCTGGGAGGCAGAGGGACACTGCACCTGGGGGGGGACTCCAGGCAGGAGGCAGAGCGACATGGCGTGCCCCTCCCTGGTGTGACGACCGAGGACCCGCGGGGTCCCACTGCCACCTCCAGGCCCAGTGGAGAGAAGTTAGGGGGCCCCGCTCCCGGCCCGACGGCCTCCTCCGGGGGCCCACACACATCGCTCCCGTGGGCGGGAGCCCTGCTCCGGGAGGAGCCCCGACCCGACGGCAGCAGGCACGGCCCTGCCGCGGGCCCTCAGGACCCCACGCGCGCGGGGGCACCGGGCGGCGGGGCGCAGCGGGCGCAGGCCTGCTCCGCCGCAGCTTCTCTCTGGCGCCCCGTCCTGCCCCGAGGCGCCCAGGGTGGGCCCAGCGCGGAGCCCGCGCACAGGACCCAGGGGAGGAGGGAGCAGGGCAGGGGGCGCGCGGGGCCCTCAGGAGCTCGGGGCGGGCGGCCCAAGGCCGGGTCCCTGAGCCTGGCGGCTGCTAGGTCCTCCCAGGGGCAGCAGCAGGGGGGTCGGGAGGTGGGGAACCAGACGTGCACCCCACGCTCCTGCCGGGAGAGGAGCCACGGACAGGGTGCTGGTGGAACAGCCAGAAACAGGAAGGAGCAAGGCCCTCGGCCCCTCTCCTGCCAGACGGTGCAGAGACCCCGCCAGACCCGCGCGGAGACCCCTGACAGACCCACACAGAGACCCCACACAGAGACCTCTGACAAAGATCCACACCAAGAACTCCTACAGAGACCCACACAGAGTTCTCTCACAGAGACATCCCACAGAGACGCACACCAAGACCCCACACAGAGGCCTCTGACAGAGACCCACACAGAGACCTACACCAAGACCTCAGAGACTCACACAGACTCTCAGTGAGCACTGACTGAGGACCGTATGCAGGAACCTTCCATAAAGACCTTCCACACACATCTTACGCAGAGACCTCTCCCAGAGACCCACACCGAGACCCCACACAAAGACCTCTGACAGAGACTTCCCACAGAGACCCACACCAAGACCTCTTACAGAGACCCACACAAAGCCACACAGACCCTACACAGAGACCTCTGACAGGGGCCAACATCAAGAGTCCTCACAGAAACCGTATCATCCACAAAGACCTCCCACACAGATCTTATGCAGAAACTCTCACAATGGCCAACACCAAGAGACTTCACAGAGACCTGTGACAGAGAGCCACACAGAGACACCTCTGGAAACATCTGAACACAGAGACCCACACACAGATCCGCATAGTCCACACAGAGGCCTCCCAGTGCCCCACAGACACCAAAGACAGACCGTGAACAGAGAGCTCACCCTCCATTCTTAGGAGCCTGAGTAGGCACCCAGTGACAGGCCCCTGCATGGATCTGAAGCCACTTAGCAAACTGGCAGTGCAGGGGAGTGCTGTGCTCCCCAGAGAAAATGCTTGTGTATTTTTTAATTACTTATGAAAAAGGCTTAGATACCCCATGTAAACCTGAAAAATCCTTTCCTTTACAGATTTTCAATAGCTTGAGGTCAGACCCACAGTTTAAAGAATCAGAAACTGAAAACGAACAAAACTTTGCCATCATCTAATGAGGGAAGAACTCTTATTTGTCCAATTTTAGTTATTGTTTAGTAAAACAGCATCAGGGGTCACGCTTTTTATTTTGTTATGGACAAGTCCCTACACTCAAAGCGACTTCTTTACGTTAGAAACGATGTAGGGAGGCCTACAGCCGCTGGAATGCAGGATGGAAAGAACCAGCAGAGAGGCATCTGATTCTGTAGAGACAGCACATTATTTGGCCCAGAACTGCTTGTGTTATGTTTGTGAGGCTTGCTTTATTTTTAAATCAAACAATTCACAGTATCAAACACATGAAGCCGTTTTAGAAAAGAGACAGTTTTGGCAATATTTCTATTATATCCTCTGGCTTGTTTATATTTACTGTTAATAACATGAAATAATTATATCTTTTTCTTTTTGCTCCTTTTAAAATATGGTAATATCCTTAGATGACATCATGTATGTCTCCAGAATAGGAAAAAAATCCTAATCCTCAGTTAAGATAGCTTAAACTTCGGGACTATTCAGAAAGTTTCATATTTTATATAATTCTAAGGAATGCTCATTTTTTAAGACTCGGGAAGTCAGGGTCTGCTTTATATTATAAGGCTAAAAAAGGACACATTGCTTAAAATAATTTTGAAATCTTAGAAAATATTTCAGTTATTTGGTGCTTGAAATATACATTACCTCAATTAAATTGCTTGGGAATTGGCATTTTAACATCTGTGAAATTAAAGAAATTATACATTTAATCAGCATTTCATTATAATAATAAAGATCTCACCATCTACTTAATATTTTCCAAATTGGGGGCGCCTGGGTGGCTCAGTTGGTTAAGCGACTGCCTTCGGCTCAGGTCATGATCCTGGAGTCCCGGGATCGAGTCCCACATCGGGCTCCCTGCTCAGCGGGGAGTCTGCTTCTCCCTCTGACCCTCCCTCCTCTCATGTGCTCTCTCTCTCTCTCTCATTCTCTCTCTCAAATAAATAAATAAAATCTTAAAAAAAAATATTTTCCAAATTGGGCACTTAGTTGAGACTCCGTATTTCTCACTGGTCATAAGAATCCTGTTGCCCTTGACTTGGTAAGATCTAGATAATAAACAGATGTCAAGTATAAGGTTAAATCTCTCAGGTCCCCACTGGGGTGACAATGTCCCAATCTTTTCTCTCAGAAGAGAGGAATGAGTTGGTGTCAGTTCTGTGGGTATATATATATTTTTTTTTAATTAAGAAAAACACATAGGCAGTAAAATATTTTACAGAATTATAGCTATTAATGTTATTAATATTTTGAAATTTGCTCCCTTGGTGATAACTTTCTCATATTATTGAATCACAGAACTATGGAAAGTGGCCCTGGATGGCCTCTAATGTCCAATCAATAGTATTTAATAACTAGGATAACTCATCATTTCCCTATAGATGCCTGCATCCACAACATCCTACAATCACAAAGAGGATACTTTCTTTTTTAAGTTTAAGCTATTTCTAAACCATGTTTTTAATTAGAATAAAACTAAATTCTTGTAAGAAGTATAAAATAATGTAACTTCCAACAAAATAGATGAGGATTTAGGAAGTGCTACCATCTTTTGAAGGAAAACACAATTGCCTCGTCTCATCCTGATAACAAGAAATGAGAGGGACACAGCTCTTTGCTCTAAGCATTTTTATGTGTGTGCTTTAGTTGGTCCTATGCATTGATATTCTTTATTTTTTTTTGAAGATTTGTGAGACAGAATATTTTTACAGAAGTGATAACTAGCATATGTGTCTTGCTAATTAGCTTCAATAGCCATTCTTATCCCACTTAGAATAAGGGCAAGCAGAATAACGGACACAAATATTTTCTGGAAAATGGTTCCATTACCTCGAACCTTTCTCAGTGCAAGACAACATGGAGGCCTTAGGTAGGAAGCTGAGATACCTTTGCCCCACAGATAAGTACGTAATTTATAGGCTATTAAAACTGGGAGGGCTACCACAAGGCTGTTGGCTGAAGGATTTGCAGAGACCAGATCAAGAAGAACAGGCAAGTTTAGGGTGTCTTGGACACCATTTTCAAAATTTGCCCATAATTTAAGTAGGAAAGAGAACTTGACCAAAGCAATGCTGCATGTCCTACCTTCCCTCCATTTACACAGAGATGACGCCGCCCTCCACTACCACCTCACCCTATAACTCTCTCTCATTGTCAGAGGCTTACTGGAGACTTCAGATGAATAAATAGGTGAAGAGGAAGAAGAAGTAGAGAAGGAGAAGCAGGAGCAGAGAGGAACCGGAGAAGAGGGGATGAAGAGCCATTACCAAAAAAACTACACACACACAAAATGGTAGTGGCCTCTTCTCCATCCCAGCCACCTAGTTAACAAATGGGGACCCCGTGGTACGGAGAGACTCCCCAAGCCACATGGACACTCGGTTTCCACATCTGACTCTAACCCAATTCAAAGTAGTCCTCACAGATTTTGAGGGTTGGAGGCAAAAGTACACAAAATACAGTTCCTGGAGATACCATTCCTGCTTTGCTCGCCTGAGAGGTGTGGGAGTCCATTGGGAGTGAGACCCCTTGGTGGAGGGGCTCACCAGGGGAGTGGATAGGACAGTACACGTGGGTGCAGAAGGAAAATATTAGAACTTCCATTTGGAACCTTTTTCATCTCATTTTTTTAAACCCTTATATTTATATAAGCTTTGCCATGGATATAAATTATGAACTCATAGTTCATGCAGTTAATTTGCAAACACATAAATATATACACATAAGATGCTGCATGCTCAGAAAGATATCTGTGGGCTAAAAGAATGATAGAAATGTTAGAGAGCACTGACATGAACAAGATTCCTGATCTTCTCTAAGAAACAAGGCCCAGAATCCAAAACAACCATGGGTTCTGGGCTCCATCAGGCAAACCATGTGTATAGGCTGTCCAGAATGAATGAGGGCCATGAAACTGTAGAAGAGCTGTTTCACCAAGCTTGGCAACCCTGAGCAGCCCCTCATAGGCAGAGAGTGGGTAACACAGAGGTAAGTGAACCTTTCTGCCCCGACTCACCTGCAAACACAATGCAGCTGTGGACTAATGGGGACTCCAAGCCTGTGGTGAATGGCTGTGTTGAGGGGAAATGAAAGAGAGCCCAGATTCAGTTGGAATACAGTGCAGGAACCTCATGCCCTTCCAGGACCATTAGACCTACAGGAGGTGTGGGGAGGGTGCAGAAGCAGTGGAGACCCGGACATCATTTAGCAGAGATCACACACACCATACTCAGGAGAAGGCTTACAGTTAAGAATGCAATCGTTTGCATTTCCATTACATTTTGCAAGTATCCTTTTGCTTTCAAGGCAAAATTTTGAAGGTAGTAGTTTTATTTACCAATTAAAAGAAAAATGGAAAATCCACTGGAAGATGTTATTTGCTTTGGATCATGTGAGAAGTTCTGGGGAGAGAAAAGAATGGATTCACATAGTCAAGCATATGGACACAGTGACTTGACTAGTAAACAAGGGAGCTAAAAACACTGGACACAATTAAACAGATCGGATATTCCTCGGGCACAAAACCATTGATCGTGCTCAGAAACTGGCATATTAAGACAGACCTCTAGGTACCAGGCCAAGAAACTGCTGTGAGTCTGCTTAAGCATGGATAGATTGGGAAACACCCCAAGGTAGGGGGTTGCAAGTGAGGATGAAGGGAGTTTAGCCAATGATCCAGTTTTAGTGAAGGCAGCATCCGTAATGGTCAGCTCTTGCCATCGGAAGATGATGTGAGAAGAACAAGTTGAGAAAGAGAAGTATTTCAACTTTGATGCCAAAAATCAGTCACCTGGACATATCATTAGATCTGGAAAATGGACTGAACTGAGAGTCTAACTGGTTGATCCACGATGTGCTGTCTACATTACCCGCTTGTCTTCTTCGGGAAGGATGTCATCATTTCTCAGACTCTGTGATCTCTAACATGCTGGGAGAGTCCGATATACTTGTCAAGGTGAAGCCAGACATCAGTGACAGACTCACAGGACATCTGAAAGTCTTGCAACCTCCCCAAGAGTGACGGCCAATAAACTAAACATTTCACGGCATGATGTGATAGAATATGATATATGACTGATGTATCAATAAACAAAGGGGGGGTGAAAAATACTATAAATTATAAACATGAAAAAAAGTGACCCCTGGTCTTCCCTGGAGAAGTACTCTTTTTTTAAAAAGATTTTATTTATTTATTTGACAGAGAGAGACAGTGAGAGAGGGAACACAAGCAGGGGGAGTGGGAGAGGGAGAAGCAGGCTTCCTGCTGAGCAGG